CTGTGATGCTGTCGTTGGCTTACCACCATGGGGTGTACAACCTCGGATTCCATGGGACTATGCTGAGAAGGGTCCAATCGGACGGATGCCCAGAGAGGGAGAAGGCACAGTGAGCTGGTTTAGATAGTCACTTAGGACTGCTCCACTTCTTGGGGTCTCTTTTAATTATTTTTTTCTGGCATGCATATTGATCGTCCTTGAAAAGAATCTCATGTGAAAAGAAGGCTTAATAGTTTCAAAAAGGTGGCCCTTGGAGCGAGCTCTCCTCTGCCCTCCTTGATGGGAACACCCACCGCTGCTCTTAAACTATTCACTGCCAGCTTATTCATTGGCCTAAGGAATCCACCCAGGAAATTTAAAGAAATTATGGTGAATATTGAGCTTCTCTACCCCTGGGAGGCATCGATGGAATCGGGCTTCTCAAATTTAGCCTCTGGGATCCCTGATCAAAAGACTTAAGCAAGGAAACCAACCTGCTTTCCTTCCTCTCACTGCCTCTGAGATGGGCTGAGGGAGAAGGCTATTCACAATATGAAAGACACAGATTTGCCCAAAGAGAAATCACAGCATGACTATTTTGATTTTTTCTTTACGAAATGATTCATCTCAGTGCTCCAATATAGTGAAATATATTGGGATTATTTAATCTTTGAAAATGTATTTTCTACATGTTTTTTTATGTCAAGAGAAGTATACACATTAGATTACAAGTATGTGGTTTTTAATGTTCTGTTCAATTCTAGAAGAGTTTTGGCTTGTGGTTCATTGCATGCATTTTCTCTGATGACACAAAATTTCCTTTTCTTAAGTTCTTTTTTTAAAAAAATATTTTTTATTGATTTTAGAGAAGAAAGGAGAGGAATAGAGAGATAGAAACATCAGTGATGAGAGAGAATCATTGATTGGCTTCCTCCTGCATGCCCTCTACTGGGGATTGAGCCCACAACCCAGGCATGTGCCCTTGGCCAGAATTGATCCTGGGACCCTTCAGTCCACAGGCCTACACTCTAGCCACTGAGCCAAACTGGCTAGGGCCTCAAAATTTCTTATATTGTCCACAAAGACCTGGTCATGCCCTGGAGACTGAGGCACGATTATGTACCAGGAATAAGGCTTGGTCTTTGTCTCCAAAAAGTTGATCAGTTTAGTCAGTGGGGTAAACAAAAATTAATGAGATTAATTGTATACTGTCACATAAGAAGTAATTAATTTTAAAGTTTTTTGTTCCTGTCAGATTCAACACTATGTGTTTACAATTAGAAAAAACTGATTGACTTCCAAACCAAATAAAAGTGATTTGATAGGTCATTTCAAAGACAGCTGTGGGGCCAAAGCCAGTAGCTCTCAATGCTGTGACCTAAGATTGATCTGGAATGTAATAGACACTCAATTGTGCTATGCTTTCCCGAGGAGATATAAGATTTAGCTACTCATATCAGTGATTGGTAATGTGGAAAAGTAAATAAAATGTTTCCCAAGTCTTTTAAAAAAGTGATTTGAGAATTAATACTGTGTCCATAATTTGGGTATTTCTCTCCTTCATGACAGTTAAAAACCAAGAGTGGATTTCATTTATTTTCAACGTGATCTGGAATGGGCCTGTTGGACTGAAAGCCTCAGTTCCTAGCTTGCTGGTGGCAGGAGGCCATTCCTAGTTCTTTGCTACATGGGCCTCGCCAACATGGCGCTTTGCTTTGTCAAAGCCAGCAAGGCAGCCTTAGTCAGTTTGGCTCAGTGGATAGAGCATAAGCCTGAGGACCAAAGGGTCCCAGTTGGATTCCTGTTCAAGGGTACTTACCTTGGTTGCAGGCTCCTTCCCAGCCTAGTCAGGCAGAAGGCAATCAATCAATGTGATATGTGTTTCTCTCATATCGATATTTCTCTTTGTCTTTCCCTCTCCCACAAAAACAAAACAAAACAAACAAAAAACAGCAAGGCAGAGAGTAGCAAGATGGAGGTCACAATCATTTGTTATTTAATCTCAGAAATGGTGTCCCATTGTGTTGGTGTTACTTAATTCATTAGAAGCAAGTCACTAGATTGGGCCCACACTCCGGGAGGGATGTGAATGCCAGGAGGCAGGATTGTTGGGGTCCATCTTAGATGTGTGCCTATTGCCTCAGTAAGGGAAAAATCTAGCATACTGAGAAAAAATAAAAGTACCTGTTTCTAAGAAATGAAAGAAAAGAACCTTTTCCATTCCATTCACTCATTCAGAGCCAAAACAAATGAACTTGATTGGCTGGGTTCACAATGGGAGTGGTCGGCTCTATTCTGAGTAGAGGTGCAAATCAAGCTCAAAGTTGAGAGGCTCAGTTCAGAATCAGAGGAACATCATTAAATAGCGGGTCCAAGGTATGCCTTTGGGGCTATGGACAAAAGAAGGATAAGAGGTCAGAAGCCCAGTAATACTCAACCAGTGTAGAAGCAAAATATTAGGCCAGATAACCAGAGATGTTGTGGATGTAGCTAAGAACAGTAAAAATGATGCCTAGGCACTGTCTTGCTGGTGGTCAGGGCTCCGTGGTTTTAAGGACACAGACTTTTTCTCTCTGTTATTAAAAGGTCATAAAGTACTGCTGTATTTTTGGTTTAAGTTCAAATAGAAAATTTAATGGTTTAGTAAAAATGATGAAATTAGGGAGAAAGTACTATTCCGAATGAAATTAAAAGTCATGAAAATAGTACTTTTTGGGCCAACATTAGATATGTTTTTTTGTCCTAAAATGCATAGTGTTTTGTATTGATTGATGATTTAATTTTCCTCTCCAAATACTGTTTGTATCTGGGTACATAATTCTGCCTCAAACGCTGTACATGCACCTCAGGGTCATCTAGCTTAGAACAAATATTGATGGGGTACCAATGTCTTCTCCTGACCATTATTTATTTTTAATTTTTATTTTGACACTACCTTATTTTGACCTTAATAACACATTTTCCTTAAATGTCAACAAGTAATTTAATTTAGAAACTATAATATCCTTTTACAGGATTTTCAAAAGTGAGGAATTTCCTAGGCTTTGAAAAAATTAGCATATAGCCATATGATAGAATGTAGAAATTAAAGTCATATTGAAACAAAACCCCACTCATTTCTGGAAAAAGAAATCTAGTTATATTTAATTCCATTTCTACTTGCTTCCAGTGATGTCTTCTATTAGATTACAAAAGGAACCAATTACTCTCATCCACCCTTTTTCATATACCTGGAAATTAACTTAAATTTAGCTCTTATATTGAGTGTTATTATTTAATTATAACACTTCTTAAACTCACCTTTGTATTCCTTTCTTTACACAGACTCTCTTTTATATTCAGCCATCTCTTTTATATTCAGCCATAGTACAGATTTAGTTTCTCAATTTATATTAGCAAATAACTGAATAGCAAATATTAATCCCTATTAAAATTTGCCAATACCAGATTCAAACTGTCAGTTTTGCATATTTAGAAAGTGCTGACATTTTCTCCCCATGCCATCTACTAAAGATAACTGTATCAGACAGTCCAGATTAAATTAAACATGACATTTCTGTATTTGGGGGTTACCTTTCATTATTTGGAAAAAAATCTTATAATTCCAAGGAATTATCTGTTCCAAATCTTAAAGGTTATGATTGGCATGGCATCAAAGTATTTTTCAAAATATTTTCTCTAATCAACCTACCATGGTGCCTGAAATCCATATTCTTATGATTTCTATGGACCATTTAATGCTAGACATAGATATATACATATATAGATATAGATATAAATTAACATATATGTGGAATAAAATCAAAGGTAAATATTGCATCATTGAAAAAATCACTTCAAATAGCTTATCAGACAAAAGCCATAAGGTGATAGATGATAAATTTAAAGGGCCATGAGTGTGCATGTGTGTGTGTATGTGTGCATATGTGTGTTTGGGTGGTAGGAGTAATGACCTCGGAGAAGGTGTGCCTTAAGGAATATAGATCAGGAGTGGGCCACAAGGTGTGAGGAAGCATAAGGAACAGATGGGGAATGATGACGTCTGCTAATGTGTGAAAAATCCAGGATACATTCATTTGACCTAGTTAGTAGGTCACGCCCAAGGATTAAAGGTGTCTTTAAAAATAAAATTATGACTTGAAATAATTTTTCTTTATTGGGTCCAATAATATTTTAAGTGGTTCTCTGTGCTTACAGGAAAATCATACATTAGTTGCTACATCTCCGGAGTTATTTATTTCTGCTAGAAATAAATAAATAGGTTGTCCTTGTTCTTCCTAGAAAGAAATTCTTTTAAATTGGGAAGCCAACTCCCAAAAGAGACTTTGCTGTTAAGAGGAAGTATCTAAAATGGCTTCTTAGTTAATTTTTACTCAGTTGTGGTAACTTGCAACCTTATCTAAGATGACAGTTGCCCAAATGCAGGGTCAGAAATGATGTTAAACATGTCAGCACTAGACTGTCCTCTTGCCTTATTTCTCCTTTCTTCTACCCTTTGACCTCTTGTGTTTTCCAAAGGGTATGAGGTTGCCATTCTTACACTGACCATCTGCTGGTGGAAAGGTATTCTTTACTCATTGAAATAAGCAGAGCTTCTTTATTCATTGAAACAAGACTTCTAGGTTTCAAATCAACCAAAATGAAGAACAGGGGCAACATTATAGACAAAGTATTTGGGAACTGGTAGGTCCCCTTAAGTCCTATTTTTGAATGGTCACTATATGGAAAACCAATCCTAATGAATACATTAAATTCTTTGTTGACAGAAGTAGAAGATGATGATTTGAATTTGAAAATGTTGATCAGAAGGAATTGTTTTATCACTTCAGAACCAATCTGCTCTATTATTATACTAGGCTGTAAAAAAAACCTCCCTGAGGCATGAGAATGAACTTGGTAAATATTGCTTAGTGCTTCCTTTGGCTCATTTGAGGGAGAGATATAGACATTGCAAGAGGGAAAGAGGTTGGGGAGGACAAAGGACTGAAATGTAACCACATTGCGTCTTGTTGTTCTTCTAGGATCTCACGATTCTTTCAGCTTCTACATCGATGAAGCCTCTCCAGTAGGGCCTGAACAGCCAGAAACTGTCCAGAATTTTGTCTCTGTTTTTGGAACTGTGGCCAAAAAGCTGATGCGGAAATGGTTAGCCACGCAAACGATGAACTTTACTGGTCAGCTAGGAGCTGGGATCCGTTATTTTGATCTTCGAATTTCCACCAAGCCCAGAGACCCCGACAATGAACTCTATTTTGCTCATGGTTTGTTCAGTGCCAAAGTCAATGAGGGCCTTGAGGAGATCAATGCATTCCTCACAGATCACCGTAAGGAGGTCGTGTTCTTGGACTTCAATCATTTTTATGGAATGCAGAAATATCACCATGAAAAATTGGTCCAGATGCTGAAAGACATCTATGGAAATAAAATGTGCCCAGCAATTTTTGCACAGGAAGTGAGTCTAAAGTACCTGTGGGAGAAGGACTACCAGGTGCTGGTCTTCTACCACAGTCCCGTGGCTCTGGAGGTGCCCTTCCTCTGGCCTGGGCAGATGATGCCAGCACCCTGGGCCAACACCACAGACCCGGAAAAACTGATTCAGTTCCTTCAGGCGTCCATCACTGAGAGGAGAAAGAAGGGCTCGTTTTTTATATCTCAGGTGGTGCTGACGCCCAAAGCTAGCACTGTGGTCAAAGGGGTGGCCAGTGGCCTCAGAGAAACAATCACAGAAAGGTAAGTGTCCTTAAAGTATCAGGAAGATAATGTTTAAATAATTCACAGAGCTACTAAGTGACAGAGCTAAAATTCACATCTAGGTATATTAATGTCCTACGGCAACCATAACTAAGTACCACAAATTGAGTGGCTTAAAACTTATGCTCTAGTAGGACTAAAGTAGGACTTGCGGAGGAAAACATCAAATAAGTTACGGAAGTGTGGAAAATGCTTTTATATATTATATTTACACAGCTCTGCCAAGAGATTCACATTGCACATTAGCATATAAAAGGCACTAACAAGTATTTTAGTGGTTAATTTTGTTTAAAGTTAACTAATTCAATGTTTTCTAAGCACATAATTTTTTTTAGACCACACTTATTAACAGCCCATGAAATTAATTTTGAAAACTGTCCTCAGCCCTAGCCAGTTTGACTCAGTGGATAGAGTGTCGACCTAGGGACTGAAAGGTCCTAGGTTTGATTCCCGTCAAGGGCACATGCCCAAGTTGTGGGCCCCATCCCTAGTAGGGGCATGTAGGAGGCAGCCAATCAGTGATTTTCTCTCATCATTGATGTCTGCCTGTCTCTCTCTCTCTCTCTCTCTCTCTCTCTCTCTCTCTCTCTCTCTCTCTCACACTCTCACTCTCACTCTCACTCTCCCTTCCTCTCTGAAATTAATAGAAGTGTATTAAAAAAACAAAAACCATCCCCAGCCATCTGCTCTCATTGAGAACTTCCCACTGGCCTCTGGCTTTTATAGCTGGAATATCAGAGCTGTGTCACTGAGAAGATAAAAAGAAGTGGGTAACGAGAGAATTTTAAAAGCAGAAATGAAGACCCTCTCTGTAGAATCAACTTTCTTCTCTCTAGGCTTATGCGAAATCCTTGCAGATATATCTAAACATGGCCGTGATGCTTGTGCTATAAGCATTCTAGAATGGAGCCTAGTCTCAGAAGAACTAGAAATACCTCTTTTTAAACCTGTTGCAAAGCCTATATCTGAGTAGGGTGTTGATGTGAAACTCAAAGGTGTCGTTTCGTCCTGTGTCCATGTATTTCAGCTCTCTGGATGAGGTCTAGAGGGAAAGATCATTGTTAGTGTTCATCCTAGTGTCTTGCAAAGGTAATCAACTTACCTCTGAGAGTCAGTGAAAGAACCTTTAACTCCCCAAGAACACATTACCTCTCTTCCCTCCTCAAGTGAAGAGGTCCACAAAGGAGACTCTGACATTTTCCTCCTGAGATGGTACCACAGCTGCCCATTCAGAAATCCTATGTTAACACCAAAAAGTGTCATGAAATTCTCCTTTGCCACCAAAAGAGAAGCCGCTGGGCAATATGAAGTCCTTTCTGGACCTTAAGAATTTTCATCTGCAAAATTGGGAGTTTGAACTAGATCATTTCCAAGGTCCTTTTCTGTTCCTAATTCCCACAATCCTAAAATCCTGCATTTGACTAGCTTCTCGATAACTGTTTGATGATGTCTAACAGGGTTAGGAAAACTCTGAGCACATGCATTTAGAAAACAGTGTTTGCAGGTGTGGGTGGCTCTCAGGGAAACTGATGTAGGTACCATAGCTTTCAATCTGGCCACTGGTTCCAAATATTGCAGATGCGTTTTCTACATTTGAGCGATGCCAAAAGACACAGGATTTTATTTCCTAAAGACCTATTTTTAATTTCTTTTTCATACACCAGTTTTTGCACCTCACCCCCACGGAATTCACACATTTTAAAAAAGAAGGTGTGCAACTTGAATCAAGTCCTTCCCCAATTTGTGGAAGTTTATACATTATAGGTGTTTGAGTGGTTGGCTTTTTTTTTTTTGTTGTTGTTGTTAAAAAAAATTGTCAGACCACCTGTCAGAATTTTTAAGGAGCAATACATCTTTGCAAATAAATTGATGTTAAATTAATCTAGGCAATATTTATATAGGTCAACAATGTAGATGATGATAACAACAAGCTATTTTAAAGTGTTCTCTATCTGTTCAGTCCTGTGCTAACTGCTTTATATGCATTGATTGATTTAATTTTCCCAAAACTTCCCCCAAATAGCATTGCCATCCCATCATAAATAAAAGAATGGACCCTTAGGAAGTTAAGCAACTTACCCAGATAACACAGTTCAGGAAAGGTGAATTCAAGAGTTAAATCCAAGTTGCTCCATTTTGTGTTTATTTATAAATCAAACATGTCTGGATGCCTACTCTTTTCAAGACCCTGTATTCAATGGTGCTTCACCGTGTGACCTCGGATATGGAGTTTTAAAACCATTGCATCATTCTATCTCCCAGCTACCTGTGAGCACCCGTATTGGTGACTGCACATTTGTTTTCATCCTATTATATGACAACACCTAGATTAATGGTTCCCAACCTTCTTTTGGGCATGCCCCACCTAACCATTCTAAAATCCTGATGCCCGCACCCCCCCCCATGACATATAATTCTTATTATTTAAAAAGTGAACTGCTATTCACATAGAGGAAGACTAAAAGGCCATTAACTTGGTCTAAACAAGCTTCCAAAGAACATGGCATCCACGAGAGAAAAATAAAAGAATGAAAGGACAGTTGAAGTACTGAGAAAGAAATCACTAAGAAATTGTTAAAAAATAATAATAATATGAAGTGATATGAAAAATAGCAGATAAAGTTTCAAAACATATAATAGAGAACTGAAATGCATAAATATGCCACAATATATATTTATATACTGTGTATGAGGCTCCTAGAACCATAAGAAATGCAAAAAATTCACTGTTAATCACTCATTCTTAAATGGCCCCCCTTAAAATCAAATTGCCCCCCTGTGGGACATGTGCCCACGTTGGGAACCACGGATCTAGATGAAGTTGGCAGTATACTCAGCTGGAGGGTTCGATTTAGTATGCACCTGTCAAGTAGCTCCTGTGAGGGGCTCTGTATTGAGTGCTGTGAACATATTAAAATTAGTAAGATGCTATTGATCTCCTCAGGCATCAAGGATGTTTGAAAAGACAAAATCATACATGACCTAAATACAAATTGGAAAAAAGAGAGAAATTAAAGGCCAAGATCTATAGTGATTTAAAAGCAGAGATACCTGGAAAGATTTTGGTCAGCTTTGAAGAGAGGACAGGCTTGTGATGGGCAGAAATGGGCAGTGTGGCTTCCCACACTGAGGGAAGAGCAAGAGAAAAACATGGAATTAGGAAATCTGGAGGAACAGAAGTTAGAGTTGGCCAGAGCAGAGTGAGATGTAAAGGAACACGAGAGATGAGCTTAGGAAAGGCCAAGGGGAACATTATGCAGGACTTTAAGTGTAGTCTGGGGACTCTGAGTTTAAACACCTATGTGCTAGACGTACTAGGAAGATATTGAAGGGGACCAATCAGAACTGGGCCTCAGGGAATGACACTGAACTGACTGCATAGGTCGAATAAGAATAGAAGATACGGAAGATAACTCACCAGTCCAAGGTTGGAAACAAAGTGAGACGTCAGGAAGTGACTGGGAGGCGAGAAAGGTAGAAGATGTGGACATCTCAGCACTACTGACGCGCTCCCCATTGGAGCCCTGAGGGTACATTCTGTTGAATGACATCCTTGGCGGTGGACAGTGTGCAGCCCTACCCATTGACTCAGGATTAGTCACTGCCTTGGAGGAAAGGCAGAATTTTCAGGGTGTGGTTGGTTGTAAAGAAGCACCAATATGACCCAGATGGGAAAGGAAGGCAACCATGTTGTTGAGCTCACATTATGTGCCAGGCACTGTGCTTTATAGGAACTGTGTTCATTTAATCCTCCCCACAGCCTGACAAGGTAGGTATTAGCAGATCCATTGTAGGTGGAAATGGGTCTGATAATACTAAAAGTTGAATATGTCTAGTACCTTGCTCAAAAAAACCCATGTTAATTTAGCAAAGCCAAGACTATAATTTGGGTATGTTTGACTCCATGTTTCATGCTTACTCCTGCAAATTAGGGAAAATTTACATTTTCTAGGAGTGGGTGCATGTTATACAGTATCACATCTTGGAAGGGAGAGTCACTCTAAGGATTTGGGAAGGTAAGTACGCTAGGCTGGGGAGATGTGGGAGGGGGGGAGCTGTGAGAAGAGCAGGTCGTGGAGTGTATGGCTTTGTCTCAAGAAAGAAAACCAATGTAGGATGGTGGCATGAGGCCCCTAGGGTAGCACTGCCATAGAATATGGATAGGAAGGGAACTTAGAGGTGATGGGGCTAAATTCCCCCCACTGTGTGCTTGCTGCCCATTTAACTGTTTTCCATTTAGTAAGAATTTTGGGCCAAAGGAATGCTAAATGATTGCCCAAGTTACAGAGCTAACTGGCAGCAAAAATGGGATTAAAATCCAGGTCTCATGGCTTAAGGGCAGAATTTTGTCCCCCACACCCCAGGGAGGGATGAGGACAGAGGATGGGATGGACAGCAAGACCAAGCAGGGTCATAGAACAGGCTCAGGGACAAACATGGAAGGTCTGCACCGTGCACAGCATACCGTGGTATCTGGGGCCCTGACTGGGGGTCAGAGGTCAGGCCTGGGTTTGGGCCATGGATTTTGTGCAGGGCCAACCTTCTCTGGGTTCTCTCTCTTTCTGCCTCACCAACACAATGGACTCTATTTTTTCCATCTAATCAGGACACACCGCAGCTCACACCAACACCCCAACAGCATTACTGCTGCCCAATTTACCTGTCATTTCCTAAGCCCAGCAGGGACAGGGCTGGCCTCTGGGAAGTTGTTTACCTGCAACATCAGTCATCTCAGCAGCTGTGGGGAGCCAAGAGAAACTCGCTGAGAGGTGGGTTGGAAGGCAGGGTGACATAGGAGAGTGCCAGCCTCCATGAAGAGCAGCTTTCTGCCTCTGACCTCGCAGGCCCTGTCTCCTGGGACGTCAGCACTAGAGCAGCTGATTGTGGACCCGCCGGTTCAGTAAAATGGGAAGCTGTCTCCTTGGGCTCCATATGCCCGTTGAGAGAGAATAACAAGGAGACTGTGGAAAACCAGCATT